ATTTCATCGCTTACAAAAAGTTTCATATGACAACCTTGCAGAACATCCTTCGTTGCGGGTCCAGTTCATGGGCGTGATCCTAGACTCAACAGTCTGCAGAGTGTTTCTTCCCCCCAAAAGAGCAAATGACATTACTGCTCTCATAAGCCTCTTACGTCAGCAAGGGGATGCGAGGCAAATCCAACGCCTCCTTGGATCGATGTCTGCCACTACAGCAGTAATAGTTTTTGCTTGGCTTCACATGAGGCCACTTCAGCTGTGGCTCCTCAGGAGGTTCCACCACAATCTCAGCCCCAGTCCCAGAGATTCATCCCCCCCACACAGGTGTTGGACTTGTTGAACTGGTGGGAGAACCCGCACAACCTTCTGGAGGGTGCTCCATTTCACCCACCTGCCCTATCCATGACACTCACCACCAATGCGTCGCTTTGGAGATAGGGAGCACATCTCAAGGGGATGTGTGTGGGCTCCAGGTGGGAGGCTTATGTGGCCCACAAACGTATCAACTTTTTGGAGCTGTTAGCCATCCAGTATACTCTCAGGTATTTTCGCCACCTGGTGGCCCATCACACAGTAGCACTCTTAACCGACAACTCCACAGTTCTGTTACCTCAACCGTCAAGGTGGGACGGTGTCGAAGGGCCTGTATCGACTGGCCCTCGAGATTTGGAATGAATCCCAATTATGGGGTGTCTTCCTGATAGCAACCCATCTGTCCAGGTCCCTAAATGTGCAGGCAGACTTCCTGAGCAGAAGAAGAGTGTTGTTGCACGAGTGGGAACTTAATTGGATATATCTCCAGCCGATTTTCGACAGATAGGGCCAGCTGGAAGTAGATGTGTTCGCAACACATCAGAATGTGAAATGTTACCTGTTCTGCTCTAGAGCAGGGAGGGACCCCATATCCCTGGGAGACGGACTTCTCTAAGCATGGTCCCACAGGCACGTGTTTCTCTTCCCACTGATCCCTCTTCTCACCAAGGTGATCAACAAGATAATGAGGGAACAGCCTCAGTGCATCCTTGTGACCCCATGGTGGCCTTATCAGCACTGGTTCCCTGCTCTACTTCACATGTCCAAGGGCTCCTCCATTCATTTTCTGGCGGCACAAAAGGGTCAGGTGCTGCATCATGATGTGCCACATCTCAAGCTCACAGCGTGGAGGATCCTGTAGAACGGATTAAGAATAGGATAGACCACGTCTTGTTGGATTGTCATAAGCCTTCTACACCTATTTCCTATTATGGGAAATGGAAGAAGTTTTTAGCTTACCTTAGCTCATTGGGGTTACCTCCACCCCCTTCGGACTTGGTTACAATTTTTGGTTTCTTGTTGTCCTGCTTAGATTTAGGCCTTACTTGTGCCTTGTTGCGCATTTATTTAGCTGCCATTTCCACTAATCACCCTGCGGAGGATGGTTACTCCATTTTTCCCCACCCGCAGACCAAACAGTTCCTTAAGGGCCTCAATCACCCCCCCCCATCTCGGAGCCCTACACCAGCCTGGGACTTACCTTTGGTGCTGTCCAAACTGATGGGCAAGCCTTTCGAGCCCATGGCTACATGTAGCTTGCAACTCCTGTCATGGAAGATGGCCTTCCTGGTGGCCATCACGTCAGCCCAGAGAGTAAGCGAGCTGTCTGCGCTTCGCTGTGACCCGCCCTACCTGACTTTTCACCACAACGCCATTACCTTGGCTCCAAATGCCTCCTTCCTTTCCAAATTTGTTTTGGAGTTCCATCTGCGGGCTGACGCCGTTCTTCCAGCGTTCTTCCTGTCTCCACGGAACGGTGATAAACATCGCCTTCACGCGCTGGACGTAAAAAGGGCTTTGCTTTTTTACCTGGACAGAATGCGGCCTTTTAGAAAGTCCCCAGCCCTGTTTGTCTCCCATGCCCTGCCCGGACAGGGAAAGAAGTTGTCATCTCAGCGACTGTCCAAGTGGATTGTGGAGACAATTAAGCTGTGCCATCTTTTGGCCAAGAAGCCGCTCCCGGGACCGCTTTGGGCCCACTCCACTCGGGCCGTAGCAACGTCCACGGCCTTCCTGAGAGGTGCGTCGCTCTGTGATATCTGCAACGCAGCAACCTGGGCCTCTCCTCACACGTTTGTGAAGCATTACACCTTGGATGTACTTCTTCATCAGCACTCTGCGGTGGGACAAGCTGTGTTGCAGGCACCGCATGTCTAGGACCTTCAGCTCCCTCCTCCAGGTAGGCATATATTGCTTGTTAATCTCCCAAAGGTGTGATGCACAGAGACCTGCAACTGATGTTCTTCGAGTGGTCATCTGTGCATTCACACTACCCGCCCTCCTTCCCCTCTGCTTTCGGTCCTCTTGTCTCTCTTTCGTTCTGAGACTGATGGCAGCAGTCAGAAGGAACTGGCAGAATTGTCGTGCCCCTCCCTAGTCATGCGCACTGGAGCCCGGCACGTGACTGGGGAAAGGGCGCGCAAATCCCTTTTGCTTTCTATTTTACCGACAGGGGTCAGCACAGGCGCACTATATCCCAGAGGTGTGAATGCACATATGACCACTCGAAGATCATCAGTTACATGTAAGCAACCTGTTTTTCAACTTTGGATCATCTCAAATGTTGTTCATGGTTCTCCTTCATATTCCTTCATGTTCCTATTTCTCCAAAGATCCTGACATTTTCTTTCAGTTATTCACATGTATCAGAGTTTTTTCAATAGACATCTTCAAAAATAGAACCACTAGTTAACTGCTTCCTTATAAAGAGTTGGATTGGCAATCCATCAGCATTAGGGGGTGTAGATTTTTTGCCATATTCCCTTCCCCTCCCAGCAATCTTTTCCAATCTTGAAAAGTTTTTCCCTGTAGGTCACAGAACCCACATAAACTAAGAGCCATGAGTGAGGGAGCTGCAGTGGAGAAAGGAGGCAAAATTGCATATTCCACAAGCATAGTTCCTCTGATGGAAGAGAAAGGAGGTAATGGCACCCCATTCCCTCTTTGCACAGTCCCCACACACATTGCACATGGCTATTAGTTCACACAAGTCTAGCAACCCTGAGAATCAACTACTTGGGAATTAGACAGGAATACTTGGATGAAGAGACTCTGGCAAAATTCTGCATCCAATGCCTTCTGATTTTTTCTGGATCCAAACCACTGAAGGCCACAGAAGATACCATAGCATCAGTCTCACTACTTGAATTGATCGGTTCTGTTATCATACGATTGTTGCATATTTAGGAGCAATTTTATTTATTTATTGCTTAACTATATAGGAGTCCACACAAGCTACTCTATGGGTGCTAGCAGCAACACTGGCTAATAGATTAAGAGTTTGGAATAATTTTCATGAAAATCTCAAATAAATCGTGAAATAAGGATGTGGTATAAAAACTGCTGAAGTAATAAAGTGAGTGCTGCTGACCATATATGATGAGCCCTGTCTCTCAGTTCATGACTGCTCCAAGGCTAATGTCACATACTTAATCATTCCACCTCTGGTTCTGCTCTGTAGCTAAATCTTAATAAAAATAGAAATTGAGATGTCATGTAAATAATCAGATTATTCCATAATGAATAGCATAACAAAACCCTGAGGCTTTTTCAGTTGGACAAATTTGGACACGTTTGGAAGAAAGATCTTATTTGACTAAAATAGAAATGGTTGTTTGGTTGGTAGGGCTGTCTGGCAAGACAGTTGATGGCAGAGAACCATTTAAATAATGAAAAGAGAATGTTTCATTTCATCAAGTGTATTTTTCTTGAATGGGAACTAATGTAAGGCAGTCCAGAAAAGTGCAACTTGAACAACTTGTTATTTCATCTCTAGCACAACTGAGCCCTTTGAAGACATTGCCATACCAAACTAGATGTGGGGGCAACACAGTCTAATCCAGGTTGTGCTGGTGAAGGGCCCATTTAAAACACAGTAGAAAAGGGTGAGAGGGTAGCACTCAAACCTTATCCTGACCATTTACTACCATTTTCCTCCCAGAGGGCATATTTCCAATCTCATTTTTCTCCAACATGTTTACTTCTAGTTCTAGAGCACCAACAAGCAGCAAAATAGCTGAGACATAGGTGTGGGTGGAGTGTGGGCAGAGCAAGAATTTTGGCAACCCCCATTCCCCGTCCTGATGCATTTTTAATCCCACCCTTATCTCTTATTTTATAGATGTGATGGGAAACCTGTTTCTGACACAGAAATCTGTGATCACCAGATAAAGTTTGGAACTTATTTTTTGTTGGTCACATTCCTTGGTTGTGTCACTGCAGGAATTATAATTAGGAGTATGTATTCAGATATACCAGAGCTGAAATTAAACCCAAAACTCGCTGTTTCAGGTCAGTTCAGGGATACTGAAATTACCCCAAACATCCCCAAAATTCCAAGAGTAATTGTAATTTATCTCCTGGAATGTGGGGGTTTCTTGGAGGTGCAGGAATGAAGAATATGGGGGGAAGAGGAAACACACAGTGGGCTCTCAGAAGTCCGTGGTGCACAGTCTCTTTCACCTTTAAAGGGAGCATGGGCTACCAAACGGCGGGGAGACACTGAAGGCAGACTGGGCCTCAGAGGCTACATTGACCTTTAGCACCGCAGAGTAGTTTGGTACTTCCTCTCTCTCCCTCTCTGCTTTTGTTTCCTTGAGGCTGGCATTCAGCAAAAGATTCATTTGGATTTCAACTTTTTTTTTTTAAAGAGTGTGAT